GTCCCTATCCAAATACTGCACCCGTAAATTTGAAATAAAGTTTCACCTTAGAATTACTTCATTTAAAAGTTGAATAGTGACATTTTTGTCGTCAAGCCAATGGTACGTATCAGCGTTCAGAATAATGAACTTATCAAATATTTTCAATCAATTTGAATATTAAAATGCAATGAAGTTTTGTATTATTATGTAGACTCTTTTAATTACGCATCGAGTTACTACTTAAATGATTGAGATGGAAATGCAAGTGTTCTTTCGAATAGTGTCAGTGTGAAAATATTTGGTTACGGCACGTAATGATATTTTCCTTTGGAAGAATGAGGTCTTTATCACTTGCAATTAAGTAAAAATAAATAGATAAACTAAGGCTATAAAAAGTTAAGAATAAAATAAAGATAATTATACTCCAATCAAACAATATGGTGTAGCCGTTGGCTGCTTTGATTAGTCTAATCAGAATGTTTAAAATAAGTGTCTAAACACAATCTTATTACAAAAACGAAATACAGATTTAATAATGTATTATAATAAAATCAAGCATAGACACAAAATACAACAACCCAGTGAAGACCCATAAGTGGGGTCTGGGGACGATATTGTGTACGCAGACCTTACCCCTATCTTGAAAAAGTAAGGAGGCTGTTTCCGAAAACATCGACACAAAATAAGCACCGAAAAATATACTAGATACGTGACATGTTTCAATAATATTGCTAATAATAACTCTGTTTGCATGTATAATTGTATTTAAATATAGCATTTTACAGTCAAATCACAGCACACCAACTTTTCTTTCTCGTTCCTGTTTTATTTTTTATTTTCCTATAAATCTAAGGGATCAGAAAAAGTGTACATCCCATCTCTGCTACTGGTTTGATCAAATCCTTACATTTCATCTCCGACTGGTTTAATTTGACAAAATTGAGCATTATCGAGGAGAGTGTTTGAGCTAGAGCTCATCCGCCATGGTTGCGTGCCATGAAGCTCAGAGAGAGAATAGAGAAGGTTCGAGATCTTTTGGAATGAGAGTAAACATTCTCAAATTGAATTAGGAAATGGTAGCGCACCTATACATATATACAAACTACTCACTCATACTAGCTAACGAATGTAACTAACTACTTACAAAACTAGCACTAACAGCCTAACTAACTAACTGTAAACAATGTGGCTACTAGTTAAATAACTACATTCAAGTTCTAATCTTAACACCCCCACCCCCTCAAGTTGGAAGGGAGGTATTCATTTCCAACTTGTGAAGCAGTGACGAATGTTTGATGCCTGTCAGGGATTTGGTGAGTATATCTGCGAGCTGGTTGTTTGTATGGACATAGTGTAGGGAGATCAATCCTTCAATGACCTTATCCTTTACAAAATGGCAGTCGATCTCTATGTTTTTTGTTCGTTCAAGAAACACTGGATTTTTGGCGATGTGCAGGGCTGCTTGATTGTCACAATATACTGGAATGGGAAGACTCAAGGGTACAGTTAGTTCCCCCAAAAGCTTAGACAACCAAACAAGCTCTGCAACTACCTTTCTTGCAGACCTATACTTTGCCTCTGCAGAGCTCAGTGACACAGTGGACTGTTTCTTCGATTTCCAACTAATTGGATTGTCTCCAAGTAATACAATATAACTGCTAACTGATTTTCTAGTCTCAGGGCAAGCTGCCCAATCTGAATCACAGAAATCTCTTAATCTATAATCTCCATTGTTCGACAAAAAAATCCCCATACCAGGGTCACTTTTCAAATATCCGAGTACATGCATGGCAACTTTGAGGTGAGAGACTCGAGGACTTTGCATGCACTGACTTAGATGTTGGACACTGTAGGTAATATCAAGTCGTGTGTTGGAGAGGAAGTTCAATTTTCCCACCAGCTTTCTGTATTGAGTGGGGTCTGTGAGTAGGGTACCTTCAGTGGCTTTCAACTTTGTTGAGGGATCAAGTGGAGAGGCCATGGGAGTGTAGTGTGAGAATTCAAACTCCTTTAAAAGATCATTTGTGAACTTTCTTTGTGTGACTATTGCTCCATCATGTTTGTACAGTATCTCCAGTCCTAGGAAATAGTGTAGTCTTCCCAGATCCTTTATTTTAAAAGTCTCATGTAGGAAAGACTTCAATGCCTTGATTTCTTCCAAATCTGTTCTTGTTAAGAGGACATCATCCACATTTACTACTACAAAAATAATTGATTTACCCTCCTTCTTGTAGAAAAGAGAATAGTCTAGCATAGAATGCACATATCCTTTAAAGCATAGGGCCTCTGTCAACTTAGCATACCACTGTCTACTTGCTTGCTTCAAACCATACAAGGATTTGTTTAGTTTACACACCAAATTCTGGTTTTCTACTAATAGCCCTGATGGTACTTGCATGTACACTTCTTCATTTAGGTCTCCATGTAGAAAAGTATTGTTCACATCAAGTTGAAAAACATCCCAATTCTTCTTTGCTGCAATACCAATTAATGCTCTCACAGTAGTCATCTTCACTACTGAAGAGAAAGTCTTAGTGTAGTCAATTCCCGCTTGTTGAGTGTAACTCTTGACAACTAGTCTAGCTTTAAATCTTTTAACACTTCCATCTGCCTTATGTTTGATTTTATATACCCATTTACATCATATTGCTTTCTTTCCTGCAGGTAGTGGGACAAGGTCCCAGGTATGATTAGAATAGAGGGCATCAAATTCTTGGTTCATGGCCTGTTGCCAAGTAGGTATAGCTGATGCCTCTTCATATGACTCAGGTTCACAATCAATAGAAAGCTTTTCAATCAAATGCTGACTGCTTCCACTTAGAGCACTTAAGGATATAAGTTGCAAGTAGGGTACATGTGTGTGAAAAGAAAAGGACTGTGAGGGTGAGCTATGATCAATTTATGTAGTTTGTTCTTTAGTGGTATTGTGAGTGGTATTGAGAGTGGGCACATTGCAAATGTAATCTTTCAAATAACTTGGAGGTTTTAGTGTTCTTTGGAGTCTATTGTGAGTTAGGATTATGGTCTGTTCTGATTGTATTGACCTTGGTGAATTATCTGAAACGGATTGTTGTTGATCCTGTGAGTGAAAACTAGGCTCAAGTGATGTGTTTGAGGTTCTATTTGAAGTGGGAGAACTTTGGTATCCTAGTGAACCAGATTCATGAGTGATAGGATTAATATCATTGCGAAATGAAAGTTCAGGTGACATTAGTTGTTGATGTGGACTCTCACTGTTACTGGTGACAGTAGGATTAGCAATGTCACGACCCATTTTCTGAACAAGTCGGGACCGGCACTCGATCATAAACATGACCGAGCGAACCATCTATGCTTATCAAATCTATTATAACTCCAAACTTTATATGCAACAAGGCAATACTCTAACCAAATACTTTTGATTAATTTATACATTTAAATAAATCAACTCCAAAACTTTATTCATAGTAACCAATGAAATACTGCCAAGTTATTATCAAAAACATCTGAATCTTAACCCAGCGACTATGTCTATGAAGCCTCTACTGATAAACTGACACTACTCAAGACATGAGATTTCCTGGACAGTTCTCTACGTAAACAAAGAAATCACTAAATAAATATGACTCTAAGGAATACTCTACGAATAATAGCGGAGCTCACCAATAGCACTGAAAGAGAAGGAAGTCCTAACCAGTAGCCTGCTCGCCTGCAAAATCGGTTCCTACGTTGTACCGTAGACCAATGTAGGTTCCCAAAAGAGAACGTCAGTACCATCCATTGTACTCAATGAGTCTCAACAACAGGGGGTGAAACTTTAATAACATATACATTACGAGCAAATGTTCTAAATGCATGTAAAACATAAAGCTTATAAGAATAATTCTAAATAATTGCATAATAGCAGTTTATGAATATTCTAAAAGAAATTCTTTTCTTTTTCTTTCTAATAAAAAAATACTTCAGTTTATACTTTGGGAGTTCCAACTATCCTGACTTAATTCTGTCTCAGTCACCGTGTGATTGGCACGGGTTCAATCCCAACCTGATCGAATAGGCCCAATCCACGAGGTGTCTCTCGCTTCATGGTTTTTAGCGCTCATGTATCATACCTTAGCCTGGCTAAGTAAATTCTCAGCAACGAGACCCTCGGCTCGTGTGCTCCCTACTTTGGAATAAGTAGTTTCAAGAAGTCAACGCCTTGGTCAGGACCCTCGACCTGGACGATGACCCCTTCTCAGAATAAAGGATACTCCCAAAAATCTTTTCTTTCTAAAACTTCTTCTTGTGACCTTTCAAGTCTAAATCTTTTCTTTATAGAACATCATGTACATGCTCATGTTGGTATCCTTAAATGTAAAGCATGACAGAAGAATGAAATAAACATGTAAAATTGTTTCTAGAAATTCTTGCTTCTTCATAAATTTTCAACATGAAAATAACATATAAGAATAACACAAAAATCTGAAAATTTACACACATATATCATAATAAATCATCTAAACTTTTGCTAGAACAATTCTATGTTAATAGGTACTCACTCGCTTCAATTAAGTAAATATAAGCTCTTTTAAGCAATTCATCAAACACATTGTATGCGTGCTTTTGTGAGTTAAACCACTTTAGTAAAGGGTTATATCAACTCACCTCAAAACTCCTTGAACCAATACGTAGACCCCAGTCCAATTGAAACCAGTCAAACAATTGATTCTACAACAACCAGTGCATTTTAATCAATTTTAAAGTACTACACCTAAATATGCAATATATTGTTGATACAGAGGAAGAAGAGAATTAACTACTCAATTCTTACCTAAAATTACTGTAGGATAATTGACAATAAGAAATTTTATATACCTGAGTTCAAGAATTAGTGATTCGCAATGAAACCAAGAATCTTTCGTGAGTATTTTGTGTTTCTTGGCAACAGAACGTGGGGTTCTGTTCCTTTTTTTTGTTCCTAAGGCTTATGCCTTTTTCCAGCCAAGAGCCCTTTATGGGCTTGGCTTGCACGCCCTTTTTCTTTTACTTTTTTTTGAGTTAATTAGCAACTAATGATACCTACTTTTAATAATTAATAATATTAAAATTATTAATATTTTTCTAATTGTATATCCAATTATTTAAGTGTGTATATATATATATATATATATATATATATTTCACTATAGGCAAGATAGAAATAATAGTAATAATAATAATTTAGTTTTATAATTAGCGTGTCTCGAAACTTTTATAAATTTGAGGAGTGTTACAAGCAACATCAAAAATACTCATACTGGTTCCTATGTGAGGAGAAGGAAAACATAAATGTTCGTGTGCATGCAATGCAAATGGAAGATTGTTTCATGAAAAGTCACATCTCTAGATACATGAATCTTCCTTGTGGCTAGGCTAAGAACCTTATATCCATTTGATCCAAAAGGGTATCCTATAAAAAAATGTGGATTTGATCTTGGTTCAAATTTATCTTTGTGAGGTTTTAGGTTCATAGGAAAGCATAGACATCCAAAACTCTTAAAGTGTGAATAATTTGGTTTCTTCTTATATAGAACCTCAAAAGGACATTTCCCTTTGAGGGGTGAGGATAGCAATCTATTGATCAGGTAGGTAGAAGTTCGGATGCACTCTCCCCAGTATCTTATGGGGATTTTGGACTGATACAACAATGCTCTTGCAGTTTCAAGGAGGTACTTATGTTTTCTTTCGACTATACCATTCTATTGAGGGTTATAGGGACAAGTTTTCTGGTGTAAGATCCCTTTGGCTTGGAAAAACATAGTTGTTTCAGTGTTCACAAACTCCAGACCATTCTCAATTCTGATAGTTTTTATTGAGGTATTGAAATGGTTTTGTACCATTGCACAAAAGGCTTTTATGCCATATAGGGCATTGCTTTTACTAGTCAAGAGATGTGTTCAAGTACATCTGCTATAGTCATCAACTAGGGTGATGAAATATCTGTGATTGTCATGAGTTGATGCATGATAAGGGCCCCACATATCTATATGGAGGAGTTTAAATGCTTTGGTGGTGGAAGTGGTTCTTTTTGGGAATGGAGATTTATTCTGCCTAGCCATAGGACAGATAGAACATATAAAAGGTTGTTTGTTTGCAAAGGTTATATGTATGGAATTGATACCCTTCATCTTGATAAAAGGTACATGGCCTAGCCTGTTATGCCACAAGAGATCCACATGATTGTCACCAGGTCTATATGTACTACACACTGAATCTATTTTGTCAGAAGAAGTTCTATTGGAATCCAAAGGAACTTGTACACTTTTATTATCACAAACATGAAGAGGAATGGATGCACTAGGTGCAGAATCACAGAGATGGTGCTGACAATGTACATTATTGATACTATGACTACCTGAGGTGGATGCACTAGGTGCAGATCTGTGTGTGAGTGGTATGATAGAAGAACTGTTCTTTCTTGAATTTGAATAGTGAAGGTAGAGGCTGTCTCTGACTTTACTAATCTCCAGAGGCCTCCTCAGTGAAAGGCCATGTAGAAGGATACAAGAAAACTTAGTGAATATGATGATGCAATCAAGTTGAACTGCCAATGAGTGAACAGAGACAAGATTGAACTTGAAACTAGGTACATATAAGACTCTTTTTAGGGTAAATTGAGGACTGAGTATGACATCTCCAACTATTGTCACTCTTACTTTATATCCATTTGGCAAAGAAACTAGGAAAGGATAAACAAGAGTTTTGATGTAATTCAAAGAGGCTTTGTTATAAGTCATATGGTTAGTGGCTCCTGAGTCAAGGATCCAAGAATTAGCATTCTCTTTAATACTTTCATAAGACTGTGTATTTGGATCAACAGAAGTGTTACAAGCAGTCATACCTGCAAAGTTTACAACACCACCAGTCATGTTGATGTTTCTTGAGTTGTCTCCATTATTTTCACTCTTGAAGCTTTCCAATATGCTCAGCAGTTGTCCATATTGTTCCTTTGTTAGCTGCTGCATGGTTCTACCTTGCTCCTGAGAATTTCCCCTGTCAAAGCTGCTCCATTGTCAGTTGTGTCAAATATATTTGCTACCACTTTTCTTCCCCTATTACCATTATTGTACTTCATGTTTTGTGGATAAGCATAGATTCTGTAACGCTTGTCCTTGGTGTGCCCTGGTCTTTTGCAAAAATCATGGAATGGCCTAGGTCTATTTCCCATATAACCTCTTCCATAGCTATTGTTCCCACCAGAGGAATTACTCTTGTGTTGATTAAAATTGGTTTTAAAACTGTTATTTCCTGGGCCATTGGCATTCAGTGATGTAGACTCAATTACCAACTGTTGATTGTGTGGCCTAACTTCACTTTGCTTCTCTTCTTGTATGAGGGTAGAGAATGCTTGTGCAATGCTTGGAAGAGGATTCATCATCAGTATACTCCCTCTTACAACAATATATACCTCATTTAACCCCATCAAAAATTGTATTAGTCTTCTGTCTTGCTCAGCTTTCTGTATACTAGCCTTAGCACCACAGATGCATTGACAACTGCATTGTGCATGTGCATTTAATGCGTTTAATTCTTCCCATAGTTTCTTCATCTTAGTATAATAGCTTGTTATATCTACAGTTCCTTGACTTAGATCATTAATTTCTTTCTGGAGTTGATAGAGTTTTGCACCATTTGTTTGATTACACCTATCTTCTAATCCCTGCCACAACTCCTTTGCATCATTTACATATTGTAAACTGTCCGCTAAGTCTTTTGAAAGAGAATTCAGAATCCACGAAGTCACCATATCATCACATCGTTCCCACTGATCAAAAGTTGTATGTCCAATTACTGGTTTCTGACACTTCCCTATTATGAAGCCAACCTTATTCTTCACTGAGAGGGCTCTAAGTACACCTCTCTTCCATGATCTATATCCTGTGCCATCAAACGGTACATGAACTAACATAGAACCCACTTTCCGACGGATGCATGTATAGGGGACTTGAAGTATCTAAAGTGTCTTTGTTCGCAGTATCTCCAGCAATTACTTAAACTACAGATCTCGATTGATTTAAATCGTGAATCGAAGACAGGAAACGAGAATTCAACAGAAAAACTTCGAGAACACTTAAAGTTTCTATGATTTGTTGCAATCAAACGAGATCATAGCAAAAAATGCAATTTTGAACAGGATTTCACAAGAGAGAATAGTGAATGACAATTTCGAGAAAGACCTAAAACTTCAATTGTGAATTGAAGAGAAAACGAGACAGAAGATCGCAAGCTACCTCAGTAGATGAAGCCTTGCTCTGATACCATGACAAAATTGAACATTATCGAGGAGAGTGTTTGAGCTAGAGCTCATCTGCCATGGTTGTGTGTCATGAAGCTAAGAGAGAGAAAAGAGAAGGTTCGAGATCTTTTGGAATGAGAGTAAATATTCTCATTGAACTGAATTAGGAAATAGTAGTGCACCTATACATATATACAAACTACTCACTGACACTCGCTAACGAATGTAACTAACTACTTACAAAACTAGCACTAACAGCCTAACTAACTAACTGTAGACAATGTGGCTAATAGTTAAATAACTACATTCTAGTTCTAATCTTAACATTCCACTTGCTTCTTCATCTTTTATTGCACATGCTATGGACTTATACATATAGTTGCTTACTTCTATGCCCTCCTTTCGTCGAGAGTTCAACTTCTACGCCCTCCTTTCTTCGAGAGTTCAACTTCTACGCGCTTAATTTCATCTTTCAACTCTTGTAAAGCAGGCTTGCTAGATCGATCAGTGCTCGAGGTCTTGTTATCACTTAATTGATCAAATAGATGCTTCAAGCACAAGAGGTATTCAGCTTTTACTCCAGGAGCATCAGACAATGACTTGTCAGTAACAAACTACACAACAACAAAGATAAAACCATAAGACAGAATATACATCGTACAGATTTCGTCAACTAAAAGTAAAAACACTTGATGAGATTCCAAAATAGTTCAACAGTAAATCAGAAAAGGCTCATGCCCCTTACCGATGTCATATTTAGATGTAGAGTAACTGGGAATAGATTTGCCCGTAAGTTCAAATAAAAAGTCTTACTTTTGCATATTTCAAAATCTTGATTGTGGGAACCAGCTTGAGCAGAGTAATTACAATTTTGTAGTTTCTAAATATATGTTCTTCCTTTTTTTTTAAAAAAAAAACATTATACGCCCAAAAAACAAACTATGTCATGGTTTGCACAAATAAGAATTGAAATATATGCTGCCTCAATCCTCTAAGATGCTATTGTGCTATATTGCGCAGACTCTCCAAAACAGCTGCCGCACCCGTATCGGATCCTCCAAAAATACATTGTTTTTTGAGGATCCGACACACACCCATCGATATTTTCGGAGAGTCCGAGGAACATAGCTATTATGACATCTAATTTTCCTGTTAGAGAGCCTGGACAGGTCTGAAGTCCTTGTACTTTACTTTCTCTGTCCTAAAACACTAATATACAGAACCTGTAAATTTATCATTAAAAGCACACTAGCTATTACCTCAACAATATCCAGAAAGGACATAGCTTTGCCTATCATAGCATGACACATAATTGATAACCAAACATTTGACATCCAAAGGAGAATTTGACTATATCTAGAGATAGAAACAGAAGTTCCTCAACTATACTATATATCCTTGGGATTTTATAATTGGTGTATTCTAAGCTTCCATGTGGTGCAAGAACCAAGAAGAAAAGGTAACAACCAGTAAAGCCACAAGATCAAGATAACAAAGTTCAAATGCTGATCATTGACTAATATGCATAAATGAATTGACTAAACTAAACTTGTAATATAAAACTAAACTGCTCATACCTCCTTATATGCAGAAATGCATTGACGAAGAGCACTTTCAGCCTCAGAGCTATAAGGGTCCTGGTTCAGTTAGAAGGTGCAGTCCAAAATCAGTGTCATAATGTTTGAAACATCCCAGAGAAACTGATAGGATTGTTAATGAAAGACAAACCCATAAAATTTATATCCAAATGTTGCAAAACCAAATGTTGAACCCATAAAATTTATATCGTGGATTCACCTCTTCGTCACAGTGCACCCATCTTCTCAAAATTTTAGATCTGCCTTCGATTACTCCTAATAGAAAGTAAATAGTAGGATTTTTTTGTGAAGCTTCTTCTTAATGCTCTACTCCAGTTGATTATTATTATTATTATTATTATTATTATTATTATTATTATTATTATTATTATTATTATTACTATAATAGAAGGACGTAGGAAATTCCTTCAAATATCACCCATCGTCCCTGCACCAACTTCCACTGTAAACACAAGGGACAACTGAAAGTACAAGTAGATATATGAAGCTACAAAGAAAACGAAGGGTAATATTCCAGTAATTTTCTTTGTCAACAGTTGTACTAATCAAAAGCAGTACTATGGTCTTATTTTTCTTTGCGCGGATAGGAAGTGACAACAAATGTAGGTCCATAAATGAGAAGGGATGTTACTTTCCTCAAAAACTTTATAAAGATCTGTTCGCAAGACACGCAAAGCCGCTGAAAAATGTGAAGAACATGGTCTTTGCATGTACTGACTTAAACACAAGACAGCGAAACAAAGGTCTGGTCTTGTGTTCATAAGGTAGTTCAATTTACCAGCTAAATGTCGATAAATAATTGGATCCTCTAATGGTGTACCTTGGTCTGCCTGTAATTTGCAGTATGGATCCAAAGGAGAAGATACTGCTGCTCTTGAGCAATCAAACTCCTGCAGCAATTCTGAGGTAAATTGTCTCTGACTGATGATGAAATTAAAATTTCCATCCCCAAAAAGTAGTGTATATCACCTAAATGCTTGACTTTGAATTCTGTATTGAGAAACGTGCAAATGTGATCAATTTCCTTTGTGTCATTACCTGTAAATAGTATATCATCTACATAAACAGCTAAAATGGAAAATAGGCCATCTTTCTGTTTATAGAACATGGAATAGTCATTGAGAGAACCGGAGTAGCCTTTGAAACTCAGAGCTCCGGCAAGCCTAGAATACCATTGTCGTGATGCTTGCTTCAAATCATAGAGAGACTTCCTTAATAAACAGACTTGATTAGGCTTAGGGGGAAGAAGTCCCGCAGGAAATCTCATGTACACTTCTTCCTGTAAGTCCCCATGTAAGAAAGCATTGTTAACATCTAATTGAGAGACTTTCCAACCTTTCTTTACTACCATTGTTAAAAGACATCGAATGGTAGTCATTTTCACCATTGATGAAAATGTTTCAAAATAGTCTATGCCTTCCCTTTGAATGTCCCCCCTCACTACTAACCTTGCTTTTAATCTCTCCACTGTTCCATCAGAATTGTGTTTCACTTTATATACCTAATTGCAAGGCAAGGCTCTCTTTCCCCGTGGCAAGTCCACAATGTCCCAAGTGTGGTTAAGCTCAAGTGCCTTAATTTCTGCTTCCATAGCTTTCCTCCAACCTGGATGTGTAGATGCTTGAGCATAACTATTTGGTTCTGAAATATTAGACAGTGTTTGAAGAACCTTTTGGTTGTTGAGTGAAAGAGCATAAAAAAAAAACACACTAGGCTTGAAAGGTTGAATGAAACAAGAAGAGGTAAGGTCAGGAAGAATGATAGTGTTGCAGACGTAGTCATTCAAATATGTAGGCTTCTGAGTGATCCTTTCTGACTTTCTGATTGGAGGAGGTGGAATGGGAATAGGACTCTTAGACAAACTTGGAACTGTAGAATGAAAAAGAGATTGTCTATCAGTAGAGAATGGAATAACACTAGTGTGTGAATTGGTTCTAGGCATAGTGATAGGAGTAGCAGGGGAGTCTGAGTGATTTGTGTTGGGTGGCTGAGTGAAAGTAGTACGTGGTTCTGTTGTGAAATCAACATGCGCATTTCCTGTTGAGTCTGCTTGGGCTGCAGGGGGCAGGATAGAAAGGAAAATCAGATGGTGAGACTGATGTGATGAAAGGAAAACAATGCTCATGAAACTTGACATCTTTGGAAATAAAAACTTTCCTGTTGTTCATATCCAAAACTTTGTACCCTTTTTGATTGTGAGGGTAACCTAGAAACACACAACTCTTAGCTCTTGGTTCAAACTTCCCTCTAGTTTGAGCTAGAGTGGAGGCATAACATAAGCATCCAAAAGATCTTAGACAATCATACTTGGGTGGCTTCTTAAACAGTACTTAATATGGTGTCTTCCCTTTCAGAACTTTTGAAGGAAATCTATTTATTAGATATGTGGTAGTCAATATACATTCTCCCCAATATTGAATAGGGACCCTTGATTGAAATAATAAGCCCCTTGCAATTTTCAAAAGATGTCTATGTTTCCTCTCCAGAACACCATTTTATTGTGGAGTAGCTACACAAGATGTTTCATATTGTATACCTTGTGAATGCAGAAATATAGATTCCTGTGTCCCCTTTCCCAATTCCAAAGCATTGTCAGATCTTAGCTTATTCACCTTCTTGTTAAATTGTCTTTCCATCATAGTAAGAAGACACTTCAAAACTGAAAATGTATTACTTTTAGTACTCAAGATAAAGGTCCAGGTTGCTCTACTGAAATCATCAACTATGGTTAGGAAGTACTTGTATCCATTGTATGTACTAGTCTTAAAAGGTCCCCAAATATCTATATGAATAAGATTAAATATGCTTGAAGATCTGATTTGACTAATTGGGAAAGGTAGCTTAGTTTGCCTGGCTTGAGGACATACATCACATAATCAAAATTTGAAGGAAAATGAATGAAACTGAGATTTTTCACAGCTGCAAAGGGCAAATGCCCCAATCTGACATTCCATTCTCTTACATTAGATATAGCATTAGCAAACACAGGTGCTCAAAAAGGAACACTAGTAGAAAACAAACTGGAATTACTTCCCTTTGAAATTGAAACTACATTTTGTTTGAACAAGATCCCAGACTCTAAACTACTAGGCTGGAGTAGGTATAGACCATCCCTCACTTCACCAAAAGCTTGTCCCCTCCTCATTAAAGGGACCTGCAACAGACATTTGTTGGAAGTCAGATTGATAAAACAACTGAATTGGCTACATAACTTATGGACTGATAATAAGTTATATTTGAAAGAAGGGACATATAGAACCCTTTCCAGAATCATATCTGGTTGTATGCTTACCCTTCCTATATGTGTAACAAACAATTGAAATGAGTTAGGCAAACTTATGTGCAAAGGTATAGGAAATGGACAGAGTTCTAAGAAAGATTTTGAGTCAAAACACATGTGCTCAGAGGCACCTGAGTCAATAATCCAGGTGTTAGTTTTAAAAATAGCTAGGCATGTTCCAGAGTATTTAAGAATGGTACCAGCTACTGAATTAGCATTGATCTCTATTCCTTCATTTCCTCCATTTACAATCTGCACTTGTTTGATTATGTTTACTAAGTCAGAGACTTGTTCCTTGCTGAAAAAATGATTCTGATTGCTTGAATTTCCTTTAGTGCATCTATTTGTTTGTCCATCAGTTTATGTTGCTGGAACCAGTGCATTGGCCTTCACTGCTCCTTGAGAGAAGTGTGACTTGGTAAATTAAAAGTCATCTGGAAACCCATTGAGCCTGTAGTAGTCTGCCCTGGCATGGCCTGTCCTCATGCAGTGAGAACAGGTAACATTTGGGTTGTACCTAGTCTTCTTTGCCTTGAATTTTTGTTGTGTGTTCCCTTGCTTCTGCTTTGGATTCCAAGTTCTTTGGATCTGATTGTTTCTCTATGGGGTTTTGTTCTGTATTCCCACCATGAATGATGCAACATCAATGGGCTATGAAGGATTCATGTATAATTCCCTTTGGCTCTCATCCTACAACAGTAGAGAATAGGATTGATCAATGCCTGGGAGTGGACTCATCAAAAGTATGTTTCCTCTTGCTTGAGCATAAACATCATTCAATCCCATAAGGAATTGAATAACTCTTTGATCTTCCATGAACTTTGCAATTTTCTTCTTTCCATCAAATGTACAATCACAAGTGCATCCCAGATGTGAGTTGAGAGAATCCAACTCATCCCACAGTCTTTGTAGAGTTGTAAAATAGCCTGCTATGCTGCTATTTCCTTGGGCTAACTTTGAGATCTCCTTCTGTAGGTGATAGAGCTTTGCTCCACTCGATTGGCCAAACCTGTGCTCGAGGCTGCTTCAGAGATCTTTTGTAGTTCTAGAATAAATCACACTATCTCCTATCTCCTTGGTCAGTGAATTCGGCAACCAAGAGGTCACCATGTCGTTGCACCTGCTCCATTGTGAGTGTTCTGCAGCATTCAAAGCTGGTTCACCACAAGTTCCATTGATAAAACCAAGCTTGTTCTTGTCTGAAATCGCAATTAGTACAGATCTTCTCCAGCCTAGAAAACCTCTTCCGTCAAATGGTGATCTAACTAGAGACATCCCTGGAGCATCAGAAGAATGTAGATAGTAAGGGTGATTGGAATCAGGGGTGCTCCCACTGCTGGTGGATCCAGTGGCAGTGAGAGTAGGTGTTGCTTCTGTTCCTATCGTTGCTGAAGAACAGATGTGAAGATGAGAAGAGTAATGATTGAATTTTGAGAGAAAATTATGATAGATCGAGCTACTGATGCTCCGATACCATGAAAGAAAGATAGAGTGATTTGTGAAATTTTTCTCTGATTGTATTCACTGTACACAGCCCTATTTATACAAGTATTTTTGTATCTAAGATAAATGAAAAAATGAAACAATATTCCTATACACTTGTACTATTCTTATTGCTTACATGTATAACCTCCTAACAAATTTTTATTCTCCTACATGTGCTCATCATGTGTAGGAAGCTTCTATTATTTACCAACTCAGCAAAAACAAACGGTTGAGATCTATTCTTGATCAATTCATCTTGTGTTGTGTGATGCTGACACGTGTAGGAATTCACCTACACATTTAGAGACATAAGGGTGAGGACATTACATAGTAGTGTCCGAAGTCTCTAAATCGAACCCAGGCTTCCACACTTCGACTTCTTCGCCCTTTCTTCTTCTTCTTCTTCATTCCTTTTCTATAAATCATTCTTCTTCTGTGAATTAATGAGCTTTTCATCTTCAACACTTCTGATATCTTCAGGTCTTATCAGCAGAAACCTTCTCCGATTGACAAAACGTTTCGCTACTAATACATACAAAAACCAGCTTTCAAGGTCTCATCGCTTTGGTGAATCACTTGAGCCCTAATACACCCTCGGTGCCATGGCCTTGGATTAATTATCAGTTACATAAATTGTTTAAGAAATAAATCTCTAGCAAATATACGTATGAAACGGGTTTGGATATTTGTCTCACATTCAAAGGTCCTACAAATACCGCACCCGTAAATTTGAAATACCTTCCACCTTAGAATTACTTCATTTAAAAATTAAGTGGAATACTGACATTTTAGTCGATGCAAGAGACAAATCCAGAATTTTAAGTTTATGGGTTTCCTACAGAAATTTCAAGTTAATATGCAATAATAATTGGATTAACGGACTGAGTTCCAAGCTAGATATTCTTATACATTTAATGAATTTTTTTAATACAAATACCGAATCTAGGCAAAAGTTACTGAAACCCATCACTAATGCACTGGATCCGCTTGTCGGTCATGTTGATATGGGACCTTAAATAATAAGTTTGAAATGATGGAAAATAATAAGTTTCTTCATTTCTTCACTTCGGTTGACAATAAATTGGACCTATCCATCTATATATATATATACTAAAGCAAGAAATTGACCATATATAATTGACATTATGGTTAAGCCAAGTGGCAAGCTAATAAATGTCAATAGTATATGATAACTTTATTCTATATTTGACTATTTTAGTTAAATACAAATATAATATAATATAATATAATATAATATAATATAATATAATATAATATAATATAATATAATATAATATAATATAATATAATATAATATAATATAATATATATATATATATATATATATATATATATATATATATATATATATCACCAACAAGGTTTCCAGTTGACTATAGCCGCCACCGGTAAACCCAGTGACATTCAGAATGTGTTCCCGGCGGAACCTCCTCGTCCTGTACATTATTTTGTAACTAAGGGTTGTTTCCATGATAAGCATATGTTTAAGTAGATTTATATTTGTTTAAGTAGATTTAGACTAAGGTTTGTTAAAAAAGAACCTTAAAGAACTGAATACCGAATAGTATATCTCTTTTAAATGGGACAATGGAGCTCTATCTTAGATCTGCTCCCACAATTGCCTGATACTTTGTTTTATCAGCTACAAGTAAGTTCTTAGTCTACATCTGGTCCAATATTTGGATAGGTTAGTATTTTGTAGATTGAATTGGTATGGAGCAACTTCTTTTTGATAGTGCTAATCACTTTGCGTGTAGTTTATGTCAGAATAAATTTTTCTTTTTTAATCAGTGATGAGATGAAGATAAAACAAAGTAACTTTTCATTTAATATTTAAAAGAATTTCCCTGCTTTCTAAGCAAGTCAAGGGGGCTACATTGCAACTCTGTTGTTGTTATCATAAGATCACAATTTCAGGACTACATTGAAAATGTGCCGTTAGCATAAGATCTCGATTTCAGTTGTGAGGTGTCATTATGTATCATATAAGTAGGCTTGCAGAAAATATCTTATTTGATATATGCAGGTATACCTGCATTTACTGTTCTATCAAGGTATCAAATGTGATCTAACATTGTTTGTAGGGTAAAAAAGAGTCATTAGTAGTGGTCACTCAGCTTTATGAACTAGCTATTTCAAGCTAGTTGGTTGAGCTATTCTGGATACATAAGTGTGTAATATTATTGAGAAAATTAGGTTGGACGAAATGCTATCATGAGTTGTTCTCTTGGGTTCTCTCGTTTTTGGCTGTTGACTTATACTTCTTTGCTCATTAGTTTTGAACTTAATTTGGTGAAAAAAAATCTCCTGATTTCAGTCTGTTTGCTGTCAAAAAGTTCAGCTCTGACCTGCTTTTGCCCATATATTTTTCCCTCTTTCTTTGACAAGTAGCTGTAAGATGAGTTAAAATCTTTGGAATTTTGTTAAGCTTCATTTTGTTTGGTCCATGCAGATTCTGCTTTTTTAGGTGCAGTTGTTTCAAGTTATAATGTGATGGATGTTTTGACATTCAATATCGTCATTGCTCTTTTACCAGTACATGTTTGTTTTACAGATCAGAAACTGTTGAGACTTTATCATTTAATGGCTGCAGTTAAATAAAACTCATATCAAGCCATAAATTGCTCTAATGGATCTGTTTTGCTGAGCAATTGATGTTTAAAATGTTACTTGGAGGTGATGCCTCTGGTCGATGCTCATTCCATTTCATTGTTGTTGCCATTCTGACGTTGATGCTGTGTGTTTGTTTTATTGTTGTATGTGCTAATTCTAAGATTTTGAGAATAATTTGCTTTCAAACAGGGATGCCAGAGATTTTGATGACAAACATACTAGTAGCTTAGTGAATTTTTCTGTGGACTTGTATATACCTTTTTCCTTCCACTATTTACTTCATTTTACACCTAAGATTTGGTTGTGTCATGTTAATTTCAGGAAGCCTATCAGCAACTTTTTGAGGAATGGCGTCAAACCGATTCCGAAGATGGTAGCTCAACCCAAGTATCACTCAATGATGTAGCTTCAATATGGTCGCAGGTGGTTGGTGGCGCAAATAAAGGTAGAACCTACGGTCTTGGATCACAATATTCCGTAGGTCGTTCTACGACATTGTTGTCTGGTGATGCGAGTTATTCGCAAGATCACGAAGAGGTGGAAGCATTACGAAAAGAAGTTAAAGAGTTGAAGGAGGAACGGAAAGAAGATCGCGCAAATTTTAACAAATTGCAAAGTCTAGTGGAGAAATTTATGAGCGGACGTCCATTTGGTCCTTTGAATGGCGAGGATGGTGGGGATAATGAGTTTTAGTTTGTTATGGTTATGATGTTTGAGACATTATTATTTGTTGTAGTTGGATGTTTAGACTTGGTAATGTTTACACTTGACTATGATTATAATATTTTAGACTAGATTGAATGGTGCTAGAATATTTAACTCTTTTTGGATCTTTTAGTTACAAAATTTATGTTTGGCATTTTATGGATTTGACTAGGTGCAATGGTGGATTGATTGGTTGAAATGGCGGATTGATTGGTTAGCATTGTGGAATAATTGGTTGGCATGGTGGATTAATTGGTTGTTGTATATTTGAATTGGCAGGTGGTACTGCTTTAAAAAAGCTGGAATTTGACAAAAAATTTCTAGTTTTCCGACCATAGTAGTTGCAAAATGCATCAAAATTATCTAAATTCAGGAACATCTTCGACTAGTGTAGTCGGAAACATAAATAAATAAATCATTTTAAATTAGATTTGCGACCATAGTAGTCGCAAATATAAATAAACAAATAAATATTTTTAAATTAGATCTGCGACCACAATAGTGGGAAACTCAAATAAAATTACATAATAATTATAATTATGTATACCGTTTGTGACTGAAGTAGTGACAAAGTTAATATCAAATTAAAATTTAATTTAAATTGTTTGCGACTGCGTCAGTCGAAAATTTACCATATTTATTAGTCATTTTTCTATTTTGACTTTCCGGCCGCTGTAGTCGCAAATTATGGACGGATTCGGTCACAAAACATTTCACCAGCTATTTTGCGACTACGACTTTTTGGTCTGAATGTAGTCAGAAATTAGCATTTTCTGACCACTTTCTGACCCTTTTTGTAGTCGCAAAATAGCCATTTTCTAGTAGTGTTTGGATATACAATTGCTATCATTAATTTCAATTTAGCACATTCAAGGAATTGAAGGGTATAAGCTGAAACCCCTCCATTTAGCTGCAGTCAAGCCAAAATTACAAGGGTATAATATTTTTTTCGTTGAAGAATATTAGTTTTGAATCATTAGATTATGTGAAAGGTTTTTTTTTTTCAAACTTAACAAGAGATAAATTGGTTTCTAATTGATAGTTTTTATAGCGATTTTTAAGTGTAACAAAAAGTACATATAAAGAAAAATTGTTATGACGTGAAATATTTTTTTTTAAAATGTAAACAAATTATTTCGAAAAAACTCTTTACTCTTTTTAATTCAAAGATAATAAAAAGATAAGATATTTTTGAATATTAATAGAGAGTTTTTATTATAATAGAGGTTATATCATGGATAAACTCAAAAATTCGAAATCTTATGGAATATTTATATAATATCCGGCCATATTTATTGTTTACCTTTTATAGCTAATATAGATAGATGATATACCGACAACACAAGATTATACACATATTATATATGGATTATATATAAAGAAAAAATTGGTATGACGTGAAATATTTTTTTTTTAAATGTAAACAAATTATTTCGAAAAACCTCTTTACTCTTTTTAATTCAAAGATAATAAAAAGATAAGATATTTTTGAACATTAATAGAGAGTTTTAAAATTATTATAATAGAGGTTATATCATGGATAAACTCAAAAAACAGAAATCTTATGGAATATTTACATAATATCCGGCCATATTTATTGTTTACTTTTTATAGCTAATATAAATAGATGATATACCGACAACACACGATTATACACATATTATATATGGATTATACATAAAAATTGGTATGACGTGAAATATATTTTTTTTAATGTAAACAGATTATTTCGAAAAACCTCTTCGCTCTTTTTAATTCAAAGATAATAAAAAGATAAGATATTTTTGAACATTAATAGAGAGTTTTAAAATTATTATAATAGAGGTTATATCATGGATAAACTCAAAAACCGAAATTTTATGGAATACTTACATAATATCCGACCATATTTATTATTTACTTTTTATTGTTAATATAAATAGATAATATACCGACAACACACGATTATACACATATTATATATGGATTATATATAAATTACACATCATTCAATTTTTTTAATTTAAGTGGTCGGGTGAACACCTATTTAGGTTGATTAGATAAAGCCAAAAGAAAAATATGAAATAATTTCAACCAAAGACTAAAAATATAATTAAAGTTCATATGTAGATAATTTTTATTAAAACTCATCCTTTTACAATGAAATAAATTAATTTTTTGTAACAGAAGAAATACTGACATAAAAAATAAGATAAAAGACAATAAATATTGAAAAAAATGTTAGAAAGATCTAAAAATGAGAAATAAAAGATGACAACAAATTTCTTCTTATGTTTCATCTTTGATGAGTATAAAAAATTCGAAAGTTAATCTCATCAATTTCAAATATTTTTTTTTCAACTCAAATACATAGATTATAAGATAAGAATATCTTCGAATATTTTTTTAATTTACATTGTGTGTCGTTTTAAAAAAATCACTATTACTAACAAGCTGATATGATATTCGAATTTGAATTGGAACGCAATTTGAGTAGTTTGCATTGAGGTTAAACCAAATATGTTGCCGAAAAATAAACTACTTGACAATTTTAAGACAATATATGCAATATTTTATAATAATAATCAACTAGTTTAACATTTAATGATTCAAAGAATAAATTTTTTGTATATATATATATAGGGTATTAAAAATTCAAATTCTGGGCTAGAGATATCGATAAACTTAAAGTGGAGTCATACTGAAATNGCTACAAGAATTGAGAAAATGTTAGTCTTTTTTCATGTAGTGTTTCTTAATTAATATCTGACGATTATCTATAATTATTTAGAAGGTTTAAATGTTAAGGTTATTTACATATAATCCAAATAACCCAAATATTTAACATGGTTAATGTCAAATATCAAAAAGGAGTAAAAGAATTCACTAGCTAAAGAAATTTTTATATTTTTAGATAGCCAACTATAATGAGTTTTGAATTAAGAATAATATTTTCAATTACATTATTATAAAAATAATTAGTATTGAAAAATAATGTTTTAGAAACTGAAATTTAAGAAAGAAATATTTTTTAAGAGATATCAACACACCAAATAAGAGTTCAAGTAGTAGTAAAAGAGTTAAGTCTTATCCAAAGAATCATTCATTGTCTCAACATTGATTGTTTTGACACAAATATGAGTTATTATTTTGCTTTTTGACTATTTTTATGATCCAATTACACCGGCAAGAATGATATCAAAAAAGAAAAATAGAAGAAATGTCACGACCCTGGTTCGCCCTCCGTGAACCATCGTGACGTCACCTAGTCTCTNTCCATAAATATGAGTTATTATTTTGTTTCCTGACTATTTTTAGGATCTAATGACACCGACAAGAATGGTATCAAAATAGAAAAATAGAAGAAATGGTTAATTTTTTTTCATGTAGTTAATATTCAATAATTATCTATATTTACTGAGAAAGTGTAAAATTTAAGATTATTTACATATAAACCAAATAACTTAAATATTTGACATGATTAGTTTCGCGCATCCGCGCGGATACTAATACTAGTTAGTTATGATATCAGCTCATAATTAGACTTCTCACCAATGCCAATACTTTGAAAAAATTAAATAAAATATTTGTGGTAACAGGCAAAAACCATGTGTTGCTCCTTTCTTTGTCATGTAGATAAGGGATCTTTATATTGTCATCTTGTCTAGTCTTATTCTGCTTTTGTTATAACAATTTTTTTTTTTTTTTATTTTTGGAATTGAGTAACACCGTGGACAAATTTTACTCAAAAGATACATTAACAATAAGAAAACTGAAGTATTTGTCACAAAATACTATTGTTTATTGTGATAAATCAGATATAACCACAAGAATATGGAGTTTTGATGAACAATTAGATCTTGGATCAACAAACTAGTAATTTTGTGTATCTTAGTTATTGAACGTATAAAGCAGATGAGCATCGACTAGAAGCAACTTGATACAAGCAACGCATTCTGAAGATCGATATCTACGTACACCTTTTCTAATGAGTGATATGATGTAGTTCATGAATAGTGCATCACATGGTAATGTAATAGGGCCATCATTCGGAAGTCCAAACTCTTTTGTCTGATTATCTCGTGTTGTAGATAAGCCAAAGGAACTACAAATCGCTTCTGATCAGTTGTATACACAACAAAATTCCCAGAGATAGGCCATCAAACACTCAACTGACGTGGGCCATTTGCAGTTCAAAATGCAAATAGTTGAAATGATTTTCTTTAGAAATCTGAAGTTAGATTCTATTATGCTCTAAAGATTTGATCTACTTTTATGGCCTCAACAAGGGAGGAAATAATATGTAACAACAATCCCATAATATACAGTTCAACAACAAGGGAGCTAACACGAGTCAAATAATTCTAAATAAGGACCTGCCGACTAAGATGTAGGATATTTAAACTTCTTTTAAGGTTGGACAACTATGAAGAAGATACAACAAATTCAATTAAGGATAAGCAACGGATAAGAGATACAAATCTTCAGTTATGAAGACTAAACAATTACAGGATGAGATAATAATAATTTCAAATAAAGATAAGCAGTTATGAAAGGATAGCATGGCAATATAAGAGATACAAATCTTCAGTTAAGTCAAATAAGAGTCAAATAGGCAATAAGAGTAAATCATAAAGCAATTAATTCCAATTAAAGCATATAAAGGTGAAACTTGTACATAGGAAACTCAATCATATCAAGAACAACTTCGTACTCAGTGAATATATGGACCAAAGAACCCTAAAAGGCCAACTTTCTACAAATAAGTCCGAGCACGCACTCGTCACCTCGCGTACATGGACTACAATTAGCATAGAAGACCCAAATCCTAAGGGGTGTTCCCCCGCACAAGATTAGGCAAGATACTTACCTCAAAGAAGATAATCTGATTCTCAAAAATGAACTCCTCAGGTGAAATAACCTTCGGACGGCTCAAATCTAGCTAAAATAAATTCAAAGCATAAATAAAACTCATAAGAAACTATTATGGATCATAAAGCCTCAATTTTTATCAAAATCCAAAAATAAACCCAAAAGTCGAACCCCGGGCCTGCACCTCGGAACCCGATAAATTTCAAAAAATCCGAACATCCATTCACTCACGAGTTGAACCATACAAAAATCATCAAATTCCGATACCAATTCGCCCCTCAAATCATGATTTTTCATTTTGGAAGTTTTTTG